ATGGCGTTTCTGTGTACTCTGGCACTCATCATAGTCCCCCGTGTATCAGTAGCAGTTTATTCATGCTGGCCACATGACCCGGAAAGCTGTCTGTGGACAAATGCGCGGCCTGAAAAGTGAGATGTGCACCACACCCCATAGTCATCTTTGACTGGACTTAACCATCCGTCTTTTACCTGTTACTATAAGGTCATGTTTTTCTCCACTAGGCCTCACCCCCACTCCAAGACTTAATCTGGCCTGACATGAGCATTTAGAGTTTACTTAAATGCAGAAGTCTCACTTGTGTGTAGATGAGTTTATTCCCATGTTGGTGTGCACAGTGGATTAATACTTGGTGTCTAACCATAAACCCTACTGCCCCTTCCTCAAACAAAAGCCTATGCTGTAATCCTATACCCACCTTATGTGGGAGACATGCCTAAATACCAATCATACTTAAGGTAATTTTTTTTATTGGAATGATTTTTGTTGTTGTTTAATTGATGCTTTTCCAATGACAATTTTAACGTAACAATACAAAGTAAAAGTCATTTCCATTTGACAGTAGACTCTGAAATAGTGGTGTTTCATTTCAGCAATTTTCCTGGGATCTTTCCGTATGCCTTATGAAGAAATAAAATATATTATTCTAGAAGTGGATGAGTTAAAACTGAGTGAAGCACTGATTCAGGTAAGTTAACATAGCATCTCTTAGAATCACAGTTTAAATCATCAGAATGATAACCTATTCAATTATCCATATCTTGGTAACATGTTCTTATTTTTATTATGTACTTTGTGGTATTATTCTGTATTTTTATGCTGTGAACCACTCTCAGATCTTTGGATAAAGGGTGGCATACAAATATAATAAATAAAATAATAATTAGTAATAAATATTCACCATAGTGTGGTATGGGGTTAATGACATCACATACACCAGGGGTTGCCAATGTAGTGCCTTTCAGAAGCTGTAGAACTACTATTCCCATCATTCCTGGCCATTAGTGATCTTGGCTAAGACTAGTGAGAGTTAGAATCCAATTAGTATTTCTGCCATGGTATCTATATGAATAATAAATATCTGGGGGACACCACATTGGCTACCCCTGACATACCTGCTATAGGGAAACTGATTCAGAACGGAGCTGCTTGTAAACTCTAAATGTCTTAAATTAACACTATGATTGACCTAGATGTGTGCTCCACTTGAACCACTGTGTTGCCATCTGTAAATTTTGAAATATTAATTCACAGTGTTCATTTGAACTACATCAGAGGTGGGTAATCTATAACCCTCCAGATGTTGTTGGATTCCAACTCCCATTTGGCCCAGCCAGCTTGGGCAATAATTTGGCATGGTGGGAGTTGGAGTCCAGTAATATCTGAAGGCCCCCAGGTTCTCCACTCCAAATGCTTTCTTCACTCTTTCTGGAAAGCCTAGGACTGTTTTAAATGGGTTGTGTCCAACTAAGTTCTGCTCAAGTTCTATACAAATCGCCCAACAATCCTTTTAGGAACAAATTTACAGATTAGATTGCTAATTTTATTTTAGTGGGCACTCATGTTTCAAGTTAAAAATATCTCCTCTTTGTTTGAGACCTCATCATATGGGGCAATTGGGGCAGTTAATTACCCTTTTAAAATTTGCAAACCTTCCATTAATCTTACATTTCGTTCTATACCTGCTCCCAGTTTCTGACGCTTATGATGAGAGTAAAATGTAGAAGCCTCCCCTTGCATGCAGCCAGTAGATGTGCCTGCTCATTTAAAGATAATTTCAGGATGATTATGCAAGCACAAGCCTCAAAATGATTGGCTCCTGTGGCTTGCAAATGTCCCAAGTCAAAGGATACAAGCATGAAACTCCCCCCCCCCCAGCAATTTGGTGGAGGAAATAGAGGGGTTAGAAAACATGATGGGGGCTCTCCCCCTCTTCTCCTTGATGCTTTTTTTCAGAGGAATGTGCAGGAAAGAGAATCTTTCATATTTAAATACTGGACTGCCAGACGACTTTCCTTGTGTTTTAGAAATAAATTTATGGAGGGTCAGAAATCTTAGTGGGAGGCAACATGCTACACAATAAGAACTTTTTCCAAATTGTCATCATGTTGGGATTCCTAGTCTCCTTAAAATAAATGAATGAATGGTCCACAGGCCTTCACATATAAAGTTCCAGACAATAAAGTGAAAGGCAGCTGATTGCAAAACCCACTAACAATACATTGTTATTTCTAAAAATTAGAACAAAAAAACCCAATTTGGCTTAACTATTCAGCAGAAGTTGCTTATTTTTTTGAGGAAGCTTGAAATACAAGCTTTGTAACTAAATCAGTTATATAAGATTAGGTCTGTTTTCATTTAACACAAATCCAGAGTTTTTGGCTTATCATTTATTTATTTATTTTGCAAAAGGGTAGCATGTGGTCTGATAGCTTTCATCTTACTCCTTCCCTGGCATGAGCAGGATAAAGAATGAAGCCTTAGTTTCATATTATATCTGAACCAGGGATGAATAAGTGAGCAGCAAACCATTATTTAAGGTTGGTTAGCGATTGCATGCTAGACATGTCAAAAAGGGCAGGGCCAAAACCACCCTAACACATCCATCTATCCATTCATATAAACATACAACCCAACATGCAATACATTACACAGAGAGAGAGAGTGACTTAATGAGATGTTTTGAAGCTTCTTGTTTGAGACAAGAAATCTATGCATTCATATAAACATACAACCCAACATGCAGTACATTACACACACAGAGAGAGTGCAGATCACACACACACAAAATATGATTTGGCATAAGGCAGTCTCCTGTGCTGTCTGTACCAGTAGATTTAACTAAGAGTCATAGGTATAATAATTGGGAGTATATTGATAACAACTTGTGTATGTCATATATCCTTAAATTTGTTAAGTATCCAGTCTGGGTACATTATGATGGGTTTTATAATGATAAATCCGTGTGTGACCAAGGCTTGAGTGACTTAATGAGATGTTTTGAGACAAGAAAGAAAGGTTACATTTTTGTATGCAAGAAAAGGCACCATGGTTCAATATCTTCACTTAACTAACCTTTAAGTGTGCAATTAACATTTAAAGAAAATAAAAGTTTGTGGAATACTGTTGAATAATTGCAAAAATGTGGAAAGTAGTTAAATGTCTCAGTTCTGTTTAACAGACAGTTTTTTAACATCACAGTGCTGACATGCCATAAAATTAGCGCTATGAGGCATGAACGATTGAATGCGAAGTGTTTTAATGCTGTCACAAACACTTTCTTTTGACTATCCTGTCTAAAACTGGATCAGTAAGGTGCCACTTGAAATGTGATTCTATGCAAAATATTGTACTGTTCTGTTATGCTGTGAATGTGTTAACAGGTGCATGTATGGTATGTATTAAAATTAGAACTGGGGACAACTGTCATACCTTCATCGTAATGAAGGTTGCTTGTTAATCCAAGGTTGGTATTTTTTGTTTGCCTTCTGCATAGTTTTATAAACTAGCCTGCAGTCTAATAACATTTCCATCTAGCATTTACATATGGAAACAGGGAAACTTCCTTGGAATATTTTGCAACATAAGGTGTAAACAAAACTCACTCAATTCTGATCAATGTCAGAATCAGATGTTCTTAAGAACAGTTTAACTTTATACATACAGATCCAATAGCTGTTCACACTGAAATGGAAACAGAAAAAATGAATCTGGGTAGCATTTGGTGAAATGTTAGGTTATGGTGGTTGACTCTCATAAAGTGATTTTGCTACCTCTTGCAACTTTGTGGTGAAGGAGTCCCTTGCTCCAATAAATGGTAGTAAGAAAATACACCATGCTTTAGCAGGTGATGGCGAACTACATTTTCACCACTATTTAGAAGAATGCTTTGCCACAACAGGATTGCAGTGGAAAGAAAATTCAGTGAATGCTGCATTAAAATGATCATAAAAATACTCAAAAAAGTATTTTGAGTTTCTCCACAAACTTTGATAGCCTCTACAAACAGCACATGTGTATTTGAACATGTCTATGTGGCAAATCCATGTGTGACCAAGGACAGAGAAACAACAAATGTTTGTAAATATAGTGTGGGCACAAAGCCAGACATGCTCTTCAGGGCATTTTCATTGTGTATGTGCAGTTGGAAAGTTACAATTAATACTGAAAAACGAATATTAATCTGGTTATAACTAAACATAAATGCATACCTCCCCTACCATATTCCACCAGTCCTTGTCATGCAAAGCGTAAAAGTGTTCCTGTGGTTTTTTGCTTTTAGTTTATAGTCCTGAGAGAAAGGCCTGTGATTCATTTGCATTTATTAGGAATGTGCATTGGCTTTGTGTGTACCCCAATAACAAGACAAAATGGAATGATTTATGGCAGACTCTTATATTCTTGAGTTGAATTGCACTAACAAGGCATGTTGAGGCGGATCAGGGAATTCCTCTACATCTTTTCTTTTCTGAGAAATGAAACCAACATATTGGGGAAACACACAGAGCTCCAAAGGGGAGAGGTGCTGAGAAAAAGGGAGAAGGTGGAGATATTTCCTTTTGGTGGATAGATCACACTATTAACAACACTCAATTTTTCAATTCAGTTGTCGTTAGTGTTTGCTTTGAGAACGGGGTGTGAACAGTGGAGTCACACCATTGAGGTTGCCTGTTACTTTCCCAATCATTTTTTCTCCTGAAAAACAATTTAAAGATTTTATTCATTGAGAGTGCTTCCAGGAACATGGAGGGTACCTTAATTATACAGTTTTCAGACACACTGAAGACTTACCTCTTTACCCTGGCTTTTGACACTTGAAGTCTATGTTTTTAGGACCCACCTCATTTTTATTTTTTGATTATAGATTTTTTTAATTGTTTTTAATGCTGTAATCTTACAGTGAAGGTTAGGTGATAACATAATTATCAGCAACAACAACAATTATGTGGGGCGATCCCTGTATGGGACAGCTGCATATTCCTGCATTGCAGGGGGTGGACTAGATGATCCTCAGGGTCCCTTCCAGTTCTACAATTCTGTGATTCTATGATTGTTACATAAAGTAAATTTGCCTAAAACAATAGTCCCTGTACCTAGGTTAAGGTTTTATACAGAATCATAGAATTGTATAGTTTGGAGTGACCCTGAGGATCATCTATGTATCTTTATTACAGAACTTTCCAAACGGTGTGTTGGCTGCAGTGTGTAGGCATGTTGTGCGAATGCTTCCCGTAAGCCTCCCAGGGCTGGAAAGGGGTTAGTTTAACCTCTGGTTTGCTAGTAAAACTGAATTACTGTGTTGCAAAATGATGCATGTTTAAAAGGTGTGTCACCAACATGAAAAGTTTGGAAAGCTCTGCTTTATTAAGTTGAAGCTAGTGATGTTAAATTCTTGAGAACAATCTTTTGGAGAATAGTCTCAATTAATGATAATATTAGAGAATTTTCATTTAAAATAGGAGAATATTCATTTTATTGCATTGAAAATGATATAATTAGTTAATATACATGTTTATTCATGGGCAAACTTGTTCAGATGGCAACCAAAAAATGGAACGATACTTTTAATCAATGGGGCAATGCAGTGAATTCACATTCTTTGACTTTTTGCACCAAACTTGAAAATTCAACGTGAATGACTCACGTTAATCACTTAGCCTGCCACTAACCATATATTTACCATCAACTTTGAATTCTAATTATGTATGAAATGTAGCTTTTAAAGTAGAAGGAATATTAAAAAAAACACTGATTGACAGTGTGGATGGGATCATTGAAGCTACTTTCTGTAAAAAATAAATAAATCGCACTCTATGGCCAAGGGTATAGAATTGCAAAGAATAAGGTCATGCCAAAATAGAAAAAAAGGCTATTACGTATACAAATTGAATGAATAGCATTTTTAAAACTAAAAACTAAAATAAAATGTTTTCTGTAGCTCACATTTCAGAACTGCCAATGGGGAAATGACACAATGCCCAGTAATGTAACTGGATCAAAAAAAATCATTATTCATTACTTACACTGGCAATATCACAGTTTGACTGATTTTTTACTAGATTTTTTAAATGTGGGTTGTAAAACTGGTTCTTACATTAGAATTTACAGTTTGTGGAGAATTTTCTAGCAGAAAATATGCTCAAGAATATTCTCATCTCACATCGCTAGGTGAAGCATAATAAATCTATATCTATATCATCTATACCTATGATTAATAAATATAAAAATAATTCTTATTTCTGTTTGTGTCACTAGAATTTGGTAAAGAACCTCCCTGAACCGAAAGAGCTCAGTGCCTTAGCCGAGTTAAAGAATGAGTATGATGATCTCTGTGAGCCAGAACAATTTGGAGTTGTGGTAAGTTCTGTTTCATAAATTCAACCTGTAATTGATGTCCACTGTGCATTTTGGCAAGTTTACCAAAGATTTCTGAGAACATCTCTTTAAAAATAGTAGCTGCTTTTTTATTAGTGCATAGCTATACGCTGTCTTAATAATACAGCCGTACCATAAAATGGTCATTAGGCTGGTTGCCACCCTTCCTGCTACTGATGATGAGAGCCTGCAGAAAATAATTTCTGCCAATCATCTTACCACATGGACAGAGTAAACTTATACTCTACCCAAAATGGCTCAAAATAATAAATTCATCCCCAAAATTATCCCCTTTAAAAACATTTGTTAAAGTCTATCTAAATAACATACATATATGTGCAATAATATGCTAGCCAATAGCAGCAATGCATGTGCTCTTTCTAGTCACATCAGCTTTCAAAATTGTTTTCTGAAGCAGTATTGCGCTCACAAATATCTAAAACAATAGAATATCTTATTGCTATCTGGTTCATTTGAAAGGTGCCTTGCAGTGGCAAATGGCCTACGCCTTTTTACCTACTGGCCACAATGTAGATCTAAAATAATGTTACATTTTGACTAAGTGGCTTCTATGCAAGTCATGCATTGATAAAAGTAGATATTTTGCTCCTTGTGTAATCGCTTCTGAAGTTCAACATTCAAGGTCTTGTAGCACAGTAGTATGCCCACATGGCATTTGTTTATGAGATTTATAAACTTTCGCTTAAAAACCCCAGGACAGTATGCATAAATAATTAAAACAGAATTAATTGTGACATAGTATAATACCACATATCAGACACAAAAAAGTAATCTCTAAAGCTATAAACACGTAATACCTATGATCACAGAAGCAGGCAATAAAGACTAACTGGCATAATGTTATCCCTTCCAAAGAGCTGAACAAATAAATACATCTTCCTCTGCTAATGAAATGTGGTGCTAGACTCAGCTTGGAAGACAGTTTGTTCCAGAGATAAAGCACTGCTTCAGAGAAAGTACTCTCACATTTTGCATCCTCATAACTTTCATCAGGTGAAGGAATCTCAAGTAGAACTTCCCCTGTCAATCTTAGTACAAAGGATTTTGTGTCTAGTCATTGAAAAGAACCAATGTGTAGAGTGGCTAAAATGCTGAGAAGGCAAAATTTAATTCCAGCTCATCCCTGATGATCAGAGGGTGGCATTGGGCAGTCACTTTCTCAAAGCCAAACCTCCCTGACATGTTTGTTTTCAGGATAAAATATTCTAACCCTGTGAGTGCTGCTCTAGGTTCCTTGGAGAAAGGGCAATAGTGACATGTGAGAAATTCTAAAAAAACAACATTTGACTGTCTTTATATATCACATTTCTTTAAACATTGAGGACAACTGGATTCATTATGATTAAAATACTGTGCATTTGAAGCTGTGATTAACAGCCAATAACTGACAAGGTAACAGCAACTTGGGCCACTTCTTTGTATTAACAATTTGTTATACTATACAACCCCCTCCCACATACATGTGATTGACTCATGTGTGACCGTGTATATATGCAGTGCTGGTAAGTAAGTAGATAGATAGATAGATAGATAGAAAGATTCAAAACAGGAAATGGTGGGAGAGAACTGGAGAGTCATTGTGGCTTGCAAGGAGACCCCAGAACCCAAAGAGGACTTCAGTGAAAGCGGAGGAAGCTCTAAAGTGACAGGAGATACAGTGGGGCTTGTTTTGGCTGCTCAGCCTCCCAGCCTAGCAGCTGATGTGCAGCAGCAGCAGCAGTAGCAGTAGCAGCAGCAGTCATTTTTCTGCACAGCTTCTAGCCAGCCCCGCTTCAACCATGGTTGAAGAGGAAGTTGTGTGGAAAGAGCAAGGGAGGGAGAGCTGGAGAGCAGAAAAAAGTGGATGTTTAGAGGCTTTTTAGGGGGTATTCCCCACAGTCACGTGAATATTTTTTCCTAAAAAGCATTGGGTCAGTTTTTGTTTTTTTAGCATAGATGTCATTTAAGCTTCAATTACATCTTTTAGTACGTTTACAAGCACAATTCAAAGTGTTGGTGCTGACCTTTAAAGCCCTAAACGGCCTCGGCCCAGTATACCCAAAGGAGCGTCTCCACCCCCATCGTTCTGCCTGGTCGCTGAGGTCCAGCGCCGAGGGCCTTCTGGCAGTTCCCTCACTGCAAGAAGCAAAGCTACAGGGAACCAGACAGAGGGCCTTCTCCACAGTAGCGCCCGTCCTGTGGAACGCCCTCCCATCAGATGTTAAAGAGATAAACAACTACCTGACATTTAGAAGACATCTGAAGGCAGCCCTGTTCAGGGAAGTTTTTAATGTGTGACATTTTAATGTATTTTTAATCTTTGTTGGAACCCTCCCAGAGTGGGCAGGGTTCAAATAAATAAATAGATAGATAGACTCCTGAGGTGTCCACTTCTGCTGTTACTTTGGTGCAAAGTAGATTTCACAGACACTTTTGTTCTTTATGACCTGTAGTACAAGCAAAAGCATTGGATAAAATTCCTGGTTGTTTAAAACTATATGTTAGGTTGATTACTATAGTTGACCAAGTAATAATCCATTTACGTAGCATGTGAACATTAGTTACTTCTGGGTGAAGCCACTTTCAGTTCCTAAACATGTGAATTAAGTTTTAAGATTAGGTTGAGGTGGTGTTCCTAGGAGAAGGGGGAATTGTTATTGTGTATATTTGAAAATCCATACTTGAAACAACCCGAAAACACCCAAATCCATTATCCTTGCACATATCAGAAGTAATTCTGCTGGATTGAATAAAGATTTACCTGGCTGTAGATCACTGAACATAGACTTCATAAAGTGATTTTGAACTTAATGTTTTGCCTAAGGCTGTGCTTTTTATTTTCAGCATACATTCTGACTCCTTCTCTGCCTTTATATTACAATATAATCTGTTTGCTTTGTGTAAAATTTCATTCAAATGCTCCTTTTCAGGAAACTGTGAAGCTTCAATCAAAAGCTATTTCCACCCTTTTCTACCTACTATAGATAGATGCTCACTTGTTTTATATCTTTATTTTTGAAACGTATTCATGGTAGCTAAGCCTTCCACAGCTCTTCCCTATTTTAAACAATGAATTAATCTTAGCATAATATCTCATTGTCCTTCTTAAGGCTTATCCCGATTTTGAATAGCTGCTTTTTTCCTATATTTGTTTTGGGAAGAGAGTGTTACTATCAAACTACATGTTATATACATATGTGGGAATTTAACCTCCAATGCCTTCTTTAAAAGGAGAATTACTTCAAAGGGGGAATCAAGAAAGAAGTACAGTGGTACCTCGCAAGACAAATGCCTCGCAAGACAAAAAACTCGCTAGACGAAAGGGTTTTTTGTTTTTTGAGCTGCTTCGCAAGACGATTTTCCCTATGGGCTTGCTTCGCAAGATGGAAACGTCTTGCAAGTTTGTTTCCTTTTTCTTAACACCGTTAATACAGTTGCGACTTGACTTCGAGGAGCAACTCATAGAACGCGGTGTGGTAGCCTTTTTTGAGGTTTTTAAAGACTGGTGATTTTTGAAGCTTTCCCAAAACTTTCCCGACACCGTGCTTCGCAAGACGAAAAAAATCGCAAGACGACAAAACTCGCGGAACAAATTAATTTCGTCTTGCGGGGCACCACTGTATGGTGAGAAGGCCATACTATTCACACACACCCTTCTGGTTGGCTATACACTAATTAATTGCAATAGAGCTCAATGTCATGGCTTTTCTGTCTGTAGGATTTACAATATATGTTTGAAAAGCCACTTCATTTATAACATTGCATTGT